TCACGCCCCCTTGCCCCTCCCCGAGTCCCTCCACGCCCCCCCACCTTGCGGGTCCCTCCGTGCTCTCTCTACCTCTTGCCCCGCGCCCCTCTGGTGCTGTGCACCTGGTACTTTGGGGTCGTCCTGCAGCTGGCGCCAGTTTTGTGTCCCTGCGCCTGCCCCAGGCGCCTGCCTGCCCACACTTTGAGTGTCCTGGAGACGGCATCTGCACTGGCTTCCGAACAAGGCCAAGAGCAGCTGCATTTGTTTGGCCGTATTAGGCTCAGAGCTCCTGGATACTGTGTGGGCACCAAAATGGAGGAAGGGATTTTTCCTTCCATTTCCTACTCTGATGCCCTCTCTCTACACATTAGTTAAAAACCTATAAAGATGCAGATCCTGCCACCCCACCCCACACCTGTTCAATTCTGGCGCTGGAAAGGGAAGAGGCTCAGAATCAGCAGTTAGCAAGCACCAGGTGAGACTTAGGAGGGGACCCGTTTGTGAACGTGTTTTCCATGCAGACCTACCTGCTGTGCCAGCCCATGCATACCCCATGCCTTCTGTGCCTTCTATACCGTGCACATTGCTGAATCAACAGTGCTGGTTAGCACCCTGGCCTGTCAGAATCTCTGGATGAGCCTGTGACTCAGGAATCCTGGGTGAGGAAGCAAAGCTGAACTGGGCCAGGCCCGTGGTGATTTTGGAAAGGTAGTCATAAGCCAGGAAAGTTTACAGGGAGGTAAAGAAGTTACCCTAGAACTGGTGAGGGCAGGCAGAGGACTGGAATCTAATTGAATTTGAAATCCTGATCATTAGATCCTGAGAAAAAACTCAGAGGATGTGGATTTCAGGGTTCCGGATCCTGTAGGAAAGCTGCCCCACCCCAGCTAACTCAGTGCCCTGCTCTCTGACTCCCTGAAACCTGCCCCACGTGGTGGGGTAGTGGGAAGGTGAGGTAAGGCCATTGACAAGTTTTACTCTCTAGCATGGCCTGGAAGCTCTGCCTCTTGTTCATCAGCATTGGAAGTTGTCCTTTGCAGACCCAGAGAGTTAACTATGTGTTACCTTCATTCGGTCATGTATCAAGACAAATGCTCTCCAAGAAAATAAATAACAGCTCACTCAGTGCTAAATCATGACGCTCTGAGTTTCAGTCTCCTCGGCTTCAAAATGAAGTAGGAAGACAAGGAGCCTGGGGGTGTTCAGGAGGAGGGGAAGCTGCAGGCCACCTGGATCCTGCCAAAATAGAATCTGCCTACGGCTTCTGGAGGGCAATTGTGTGCCAGCTAGTCTGGGTTTTGATTGACGGAAGAATATTTTCTTGACTGGCAAATATTTGTGTTCCCAAGTTGGCAAGGCTTCACTGTCTGGTCTCCGCAGCCTATAAAAGAGCAAAGGAAAATGCTGCTGGAAAAGTCGTCACTCAGAGAAGCAGCAGGAACAGGAGTGTGGCCAAAGCCCAGGTATCGGAGTCCCCCAGCCTCRGCATCCTTACTGGCAATGCTGCTACTTACCCCACTGGCTTGAGAACAGACGGGGTAGGGTGCACCCTACGGGTGCCCAGCGGTGGTGTCATGATGTCTCACACTTGCCCTGCAGGATTCAAAACGCCCAAAGCTCCGGAACAACCCAGTGTCCATCAACAGATGCACTGAGGGCAAGTGGCTCACCCAGGCTGTGGGGTATTTATATATATATATATATATGTATTTTTTTTCCATGAAATCCTGGCACAGCTACCTCGTGGATGAACTTCCAAAACATGCTGCTGCGTGAACGAAGCCAGACACAAAATGACACATATGGCAGACTCCATCCCTAGGAAGTGTCCAGAATCAATTGGCAAATCCACCGAAACAGAAAAATTAACAGTTGCCAGGGGAGGAAGAGAGGGAAAGAGGGAGGGAGGGAAGGAGGGAAGGAGGGAGGGAGGGAGGTGAGCACTTAATGGTACCAGTTTTCTTTGGGGGGAGTGGCAGAAATGTCCTGGAATTAGCTGGGCCTATAATCCCAGCGACTCGAGAGGCTGAGGCAGAGGATCGAAAGTTCAAAGCTACCCTCAGCAATTTAGCAAGACCCTAAGCAACTTAGAAAGACCCTGTTGTGGGGCTGGGGTTGTGGTTCAGCGGTAGAGCATGCAAGGCCCTGGGTTCCATTCTCAGTACCACTTACAAATAATAAATAAATAAATAATAAAGTTTAAAAAATTGTTTTAAAAAAGTACACTTTTTTGTTTTCCTGGGTTCCCCCCCCTTTTTATATATTTTTTAAATTTTTGGTACTAAGGATTAAACCCAGGGGTGCTTTACCAGTGACCCACATCTGCAGCCCTTTATATATATATTTTTTTCTTCTTTTTTTTTTTCTTAGCAGGGTCTCACTAAGTTACCCAGGCTGGCCTTGAACTTGTGATCTTCCCACCAGGCTCCTACTTTCTGACTGGTAAGTCTGGGTGGGCCCAGGTACCCTACATACTTAACCAGCTTCCAGGAGGTTTTTGCAACTGAGAACCCTGAAGTGAAGGGATTGGCTCCAATTCTGAGCCAGTTCTGAGTCAGTCCTAGGACCAAGGCAGTGGAGTGAGAGAGTCTTCTAGAAGCCCAGCCTCACCCAGGCCTCTCTGAGTGGTGATGTTACAATAAACAGACAAGAGGAAACCCAAATGGAATGGAGCACTGGGAGCCGGAAGTAGTGGAGATGGGTTGCTACTAAAGATGGGTGGCCATGATTTCCTGCTCTGCAAAACACCCACCCTAGCTGGCCAGCATGTTCCCACGGCAAGGAGCCACAGGCATCAGTGTGAACTCACATCGGCCTTAATATGGATGGGCATGGGTGCATATAAAAATATTTTCGTTCCAGGCGTAGTGGTGCACCTGTAACCCCAGCCACTCAGGAGGCTGAGGCAGGAGGATTGTGAGCTCAAAGCCAGACTCAGCAACTTAGTAAGGCTCTAAGCAACTTTAGTAAGACCCTATCTCTAAATAAAATTTTAAAAAATGGGCTGAGGATGTGGCTCAGTGGTTGAGTGCCCCCTGGATTCAATCCCGGGTACCAAATAATAATAACAATAATACTTTTTTTGTGTTTTACTTTTTTTTTTCTTTTTTTGAGACAGGGTCTTGATATGTTGCCCAGGCTGGTGGCCCAAATGATTCTCCAACCTCTTCTCCTGAATAGCAGGATCTACCAGTGCAAGCCACCATGCCTAACTTTCTTTCTTTCTTGATACTGGGAATTAAACTCAGGGCCACTTGTCCACTGAGCCACTTGCCAGCCCTATTTTTTGTAATTTATTCAGAGACAGGGTCTCACTGGTTTGCCAATCGCCTTCCTGTTGCTGAGACTGGCTTTGAACTTACGATCCTCCTGTCTCAGCCTCCCTGTGATTACAGGCATATGCCACAGTATCCAGCCTGACTTACATTATTTTTAATTAACAATTAATAATTGTATATATGTATATATTTATAGGATTCAGTGTGTTTTTTTCCTTCCATATTGAAAGTGTTTTATTTTCTTCAGTATTGATGGTGCTTTGCCACTGAGTCACATCCCAGCCCTGTTTAAAAATCTTTTTATTATTTTGAGACCAAGATCTCACTAAGTTGCCCAGACTGRCCTTAAATTTGTGATCCTCCTGCTTCAGCCCTCCAAGTAGCTGGGATTATAGGCATGTGACCCTGAACAACAGGTGATATTTTGATACTTGCATGCATTGTGGAATGATYGAGTAAGGGCAATTAACATATACGTTACCTCAAATACGTACTTCATTGTGATAAGACTATGTAAGACCCARTCTCTGGGCTGAGGGTGTAGTTCAGTGATAAGAGTATATGTTTAGCATGCACAAGACCCTAGGTTTGATGCCCAGCAGCCCCCCAAAATAAAATAAAACCCCTCTCTTTTAGGTACTTTGAATACATACTACATGCTGTAACTGCAGTCACTCTGCTGTGCCTGGCCACCAGCACTCCTCTTCACCTACCAACAGTCCCCTCCCCCAGTTGCTCCACACCCTCCGCCTCTGGAAACCAGAGGCTTCTATGCTGTCAACTTGTGAGGACTCCAGATATAGGTGAGATCACTCAGAGGCCATCCCTCTGTGCCTGGCTTATTCCATTTAGCATGATATTCATACATGTTGCTGCAAATGACAGAATTTTCTGCTTTTTTAGGCTGAATAATATTCCACTGTATATGAATTCCACATTTTAAAAATATCCATTCATGGGCTGGGGATGTGGCTCAAGCGGTAGCGCGCTYGCCTGGCATGCGTGAGGCCCGGGTTCGATCCTCAGCACCACATACAAAGATGTTGTGTCCGCCGAGAACTAAAAAATAAATATTAAAAAA